GAGCAAAAGCTCTCACCACCCAACAGAAAACATGAGGAGCAGAAGCCAGCGCAAAGGGTAGGATGCAAAATTGGTACACTACCCCTCGATGGATGAACTGAAGATAAGGACAAGATTGTTCCAAGATTGGAATATGCAGATAAGCATTGGAGATGTCCATCTTGGTCATCCATTGACCCAAATAAAATGCCCACTGAAGAGTGTGGTAGGACTCCAAGGTGAAACATGGGAGGTGAACAAATCGATTGAGGTGGGACAGATTGATGACAGGCCTCCAGTCCCTGGTCTTTTTGGGAACAACAAACAGATGGGAGTAAAACCCCGGTGAATGATGAGGAAGAGGTTCGATAGCCTGGTGGGTGAGGAGGTCCTGTACTGCCTCTCATAGATGCTGGGAAGTTATGGGATTCCATGGAAAAGAGAAGGAAACAGGTACCTGGAACAAGAGAGGTGGGGCAAGAAATGGAATTTTGAGGTCCTGTGACAAAACCTGAAGAACCCAAACACTGGGAATAAAAGGACACCACCAATGATGAAGGCTGGAGTTCCTAATGAGCCCGAATACACCAGGTAGTCCCCAAAACTGTAGGCTGCATATCGTGTGTTGTCGAGAAAAACGACGAGCTGTGGCACTGCAAAAAGGAGGTACAAGTCAGAGTTGGGAAGGGGAAGGATGGGAAACCAGAATCGGCACCACTCTCTGCTCCAACTGAGATAGACAGGCTACCAGATGGGAAAGGGTAGCTTGTTGTTGGACCTATGCCACCTGAGACTCCAAGGGCTTTGGGACCATACCCTAAAAACGGAGCCATATGCAAATTCTGGAGATAAGGAGCAGGTAAATGGGTTCTAGACAAAATAGCATCACGACTTAAAAGGTCCCAACAACAAATAAACCATGTTTGTAAAGCCAGAGCCGAAAACAACAATGAGCCAATGTGGAAGTAAGGAGGGAGAGGATGTCCCCAGAAAACTCCTCAGGATTTCTGTGAAGAACCTCAGCCAGGAGATGGATTGTGGAAAGGTACCACAAAAGAGTCATGATGGTAAGACTAACAGGAGATTTGGGGCACACCCGCCAAATGGGTAAAATAGAACATAACAGTTGTTGGTCAAGATATGGACAGTTAGCTTGATGATGTGCAAGGGCAGACTGATCTGAAGCCCATGGGGGGGGACAAGGTATACTAATGCCATCGCTCAACTTAGAGGCAAATTGTTTAGTACAAACCCAAATAGGGTTAGGAAGTATATTCATGCAGTGATGAAGGATGCAGGTCATAAGATATAGGAGCAAAGGATAAAACATCACATACATGAGAAATAAAGTCTGAATCATATTTACAAACCAAGAAGAGTGAAATGATAAAACAAAATAACCTTTAACAAAGTATTCAAATCATAAAACAAAAGCACTTTAACCAGTATTAATTTCAGATTCACACAAGGCATAATAAACACTCTTCAACAGTGAGCTCATGAGTACAATAATGCATATTATTTAATGTAGATAATATTTCTTACAAGATTATGGTAATTTATTTGAAATCACTTTAAATAAGACACCCATTTTACAACGAATTTCAGAAAATATAACAAAATATACTTTTCAAAACACTGAAATAATACATTACATAAACCATCTCACACAAAATCCAAGAGTACTAAACAACTTCCGACACAGTACTTCCCTCCACTCACAAGATAAGCTATTCTCGTTCATTGCTGCCCTCTATATGCACACATTTTTATTACACATGCCATAAGCCTTCCACACACCCCTATTGAAATCAAATGATTCCAACGTGTGTCTCATGCAAATCATCATGCATCACTTCTCCACCAATAGGAGAATAGTACAATCATCTTACACATGTGACTCCTTCTATGCGCCTCTACCGGGCTATCATTTCTCGTTTGGCAGGGTTTGCACTCAGACGTCTTTCATTTTTCATCTTCATTAATGTTTGATATAGAATTAGTGCTCCAAGTGGTTTAATTTCACATACTCGGAGACCTAGCATGGCCAGGTGGTTAGGGTGCTTAACTCGCAATCTGAGGGCTGTGGGTTCTATACCTCATGCCAACAAATATGTCAACTTCTATCTCCAAACGTTGTCCCACTTCCTCCTGAACCTGTGGAACTTGGGCAGGCTGACGAGGACTTTGAACATTTGTTTTCACCTCCTTAATTTGCTGTGCCTCCCCATACCTTTCCTGAGGATTCTTTGGCCTTCCACAGTTTTTCAACACAATTCTTTAAGAAAGGTACAATTCAATAATTAATGACCCGTTAAAAAGATAATCACATTATGAACATATCCATTAATAATGAAACTATTAAAACTGACATAATGCATGCTGCATAATAAGTATTATTTAATATAGACACAATTGATAGTTACATTAGTATACACAGAAATCTTTGACAGTGAATATATTTGTGTTATGTGTAAGTGTTTACAGGGGTGAAAGCAAGTTATAATACTCCTTGTTTGTAAATTCAAATGGTTAAAGATGACAGCATGAGGACAAGCCTGAAATAAAGGGAAAAGGGGTATGCAGACATACTATACATTTTCTACCTTCTTATTTCATGTATAGTTTTTGAAACTATTTTGTTTACTCTATGCATGTGCATCTTCCACATAACAGTGGTCAAGAAAATTAAGTTGATTTCATTCTAACTACATTTGTTCTTCATCGTTCTCTCGAGATAGCACCTTACTGAACCTGCTATCATGAACCAGACCTATCTAATTTACTCTTTCAGGTAATTGGGTTTAACCTAAAATACTACAGTTGATTACTGAACTGCCAACAGTATGTATATATATATATTAAGATGAAGTGTAATAAAATAAATTGTCAAATAGGACAGACATTAAAAATTCTAGATTATAAAGACATTGCGTACTTACCGTATGATATTTTTGTAAATAATCTTTTTGAGGACTTTCATTAGACTTTGGAGTAGACCTGCCACTGTGAGGAGGAGATAGCCACTCTAAAGCATGATCATGAACTGCAAGACCTACAGTTTCTAGACTACCAAACTGAGACTCTAGCTCTTCGGCCCTATGTTCTGTGTTCTCCTTTTCTTCCTGAATTAATCTATTGTTTAAGCAGAAAAGAACAACAATAGTAGATGAAATAGTGTGAAAATATTATTTTCCAAATTCAAACCATTATGATCTCATTCATACTTATCAGAAGATAGATACTCATTCATACATTTATGTGCAAATTTATTATGGTTTTTTTTCAAGTAAACCAATTACAAGATTTGCATCTAACTATATACCAAATACTAAATGAATTTAAAGCTATATAACAGAAAACCAAGAAGAGTACTAAATACTATGAGAGAAGGAGAAGTATACAAAAAAACTAACCTAATTTCATTATTGATTGCATCTAGCTGCTCCTGAAGCATCAGGGCAAGAGTTTGGGCATCTGTTTGACCAGAGGGTGACAGCATATCCATAGCACTGAAAATATCTTCTGTTTCACCTGCCTGACCTGATTCTGTATCAGTAACATCAAAGGCTTGTTGAACATTGGCTACAACATGGGCCTGTTCCATCTTTTCCCACTCTTGTTCATTAAGAGTTTGAACCTACAAAAATATATTATTGGGTGTCTAAAAAATATAAAGACCATGACAAGCTAAGAATATCCCATCTCTTTGTAGGTAATGTGTGATGTTTGTTGC